TGATTCCCATGAGCTCCTTGGACAATTAAAGCTATTTAGTTATTGCCACCTGCCTGCTGTTTCCATTAATGCAATTTTCAAGATTTTTTCTTTCCTTCCTGCTTCTCACCCTGCTAAATTCTTTATCTAGCCTTGAGACATCGCTGTGCTGCAATCAGTGCTAAATACTGTGGAGGGCATCTGTCCCTGAATCTGATCATTGCCAAATACTATTTTGTCATATGCCAATTTAGTTTTGAGAATTTATGAAAATTAACACTTTTTGGATATACAGTCTAAGGGAAACATGAACTTAGTGACACATGATATTATTTTTAATCAGAGCCCGGATGGATTTCCTATTATTTAAATTTCTTTGTAAGCATTTTATTCTGATTATCTTTGCAACATTTACTAAATCACCTGCTATGTCCTAATCTCTTTATTAAATACATGTATGGGAGAGGAAATTACATGCTGTATTTATCCTTTTTTTGCATTGTTGCTGCCTTGTCATGTCTTTAACCTATTCTTTTTTGGAGCATTTTGCCCTTGTTCCCCTATTTCTAGAGTTCACTATCAGCTTTTTCAGATCTGCATTCTCAAATCAGTGGTATCATATAGGCCTCTTAAGTTGGGATCTCTCTTTTTTTCCAATATACATTTGACCACTGACTTTTGTGCAGATGAGTGACAAAAAGCAAGATAAGGTCAGAGATCAGAGAAGTAAGGACTAAAAGGGGAAGGATAAAAGATCTCAGTCCCAGTTCTGTTAAGGAAGATTCAACTTTTACTTCATACAGCAGGAACAAGAGAGAATCTGAAACTGATTTAATCTTTTTAAAATGCAGTCAAATGGAACTAGATTTACTCATAACCAACCTCCTTTAATTGATATGTTGCCTCAGTTCTCCAACCTAAATTGTGAGGTTGCAGTGGGATAAACACACTGCAAGAATCTGAGGGATCATTCTGATAATCACAAATAGCTGATTAATTTATTGACAAATTCTGAGGGTCACTACACAAATATGAGCTAATAGTGTTACTCATATTGCAAGAGGTAATGAAATCCAAAACAAAACTATGAATTCGTTTTTCAGGCAGGCAAAGCAAGTTTGAATATGAAAACATTTAGACCTACAGCCTAAGCACATATGTGGATCCAAATAAGTGTGCAGCAAACTGAATGTACATTCAGAATACAAATTTGACTTGCAACAGAGAGAACAGACACCAGTCCAATCCCAGCTATGTTACACAACATGGCAGAAAACTGATGGGTGGAAGAAACAGCAGGAGTCATCAAAGAATTCCTAATTCAGGCATAAAGCTTAACCCATTATTTTTTATTTGCTTTGATCATCTAACGTGTCACTAGGTTTTAAACACCAGGGTAGAATTTCCAGATTTGTAGATCATGTAAAAGTTTAAGAGATTAACAAACCAGTTGTTTAAAATGACATTTTCACTGTGCAAATATTTGTCTACTAGCTAGGCTGTATGGCAAAGGACCTGATCAGCCTTGGCAGTGTTACAGGTTCTTCATACACTGCAAACCCTACTGTTTCCTCATAACGCTGTCAAGTCTCAGTTTAATGAAACGTATATAAGCTCAATGATGTTAGCCATGTCTCAGCAAGCTAATTAATTTTGTTTTTTCCTGTTAAGTTCTTCCCATTAGGACTTTTATCAATTTATCATTTTAGGAACATCCCAGCAGGTCTGCTACCAGCACTGAGATACAAAATTGAAGAATGTTTAATTTTCAAACAGCCAAAACATTTGCATATATAAAAATACTTCTTGTCTTAACATTATTATATTAACTCACAGATGATGGAAAATTAGGGAGCCTTAGCAAGAAGTGTCTCCAAAATGACACTAGAACCTCTTGTTTTTCCTACTGATCTATGAGTTATTCTGTTCTGTGCTGTTTTCTGCGATGCATTCCTTAACACCTCTCTTTGTTTGCAATTAGAGCTGAGGGTTTTTACTACACCTATCACTAGGCTCAGGGTCTGAAGGATCCAGAAGAACAGTTTTCATAGAATCATAAAATTGTTTAGGTTGGAAAAGATCTTTAAGGTCATCTAGTCCAACTATAAAATTAACACTGCCAAGTCCACCACTAAACCATGTCCCTAATTACCACACCTACATGTCTCTTAAATACCTGCAGGGATGATGACTTCACTGTATCCCTGGGCAGCTTGCTTCAATGCTTGACAACACTTTTGGTGAAGAAATTTATCCCAATATCCAATCTAAATATGCCTTGGCACAACCTGAGGCCATTTCCTCTTGTCCTATCACTTGTTACTTGGGAGAAGAGACTGACACCCACTTGGGTACAACCTCCTTTCAGGTGGTTGTAGAGAGCAATCAGGTCTTCCCTGAGCCATCTTTTCTCCAGGGTAAACAACCCCATTTCCCTCAGCTGTTCCTCATAAGACTTGTGCTCTAGACTCATCACCAGCTTCATTGCTCTTCTATGGACATGTTTCATACTGTTTCCACGTATACAATAAAAACGTGCAAATCTGTTTGCTGAATTTATGGCAAATGCCTTACATTTTCTCAAAGATTCTGAATAGACACATTGAAACATCTGAGAGAATAAAACAGCCTATTCCCAGAACAATTTTTAAGAGAAATAAAAAGCCAAAAATAATCGAATACCTTAAGTCTGCAAAGTTATTTATCCAGTCCCATTTACAATTATAGTTCAGTTTAATTGCCTCTGTAGAGAGTTTTGAACTAAAGGAAGAAAGCTTGTTCAAAAAGAAGTTTGCATGTAATTACTCTGTGGCTTTTTTTTTTTTTTTTAACTCCTGCGGCCCGTAGAAACAGTTGACACTACTTCACACAGAAAAACAAGAGCTGTATACTGAAGACAAAATGAAACAACCTAGATATTCTAGTGCTATAAGTACCAGAGAAGAGGGCTAGCACTAGCAGTGAGGTTCAGAGGGAAAGCCGCTAGAATTGATCTATTTTCCTGCCAGAAATATGACTGACAAGAAAAAGAAAAAAACCCACACAAACCACACCAAAACCCACCCCCAACACACGAAAGAAATCAGAGCTAGCAATAAACCTTCCCTCATTTTCCTTTACACTTCAGGAGATTGTTTTGATGGGAATTAGACAGCCCCCTGCAGGAAGCTCTTTAGTTCTTGTTAAATCTTTTCACAGCATGCTCGATGGAAAGGAGAGCTTGTGTTTGATGCTGTTCAACACTGTTACTGCTGATTTTCTGAGGTTAAGAAACATCAGACTGTTTGCACCACTTTTGAGGGCTGCCAAAGTGAAGATCTCACATGGGTTCCAAACTTCTGGCTGCTGTGTTACAGCACAAGCCCTTAGGCAAGAGTTCGTGCCAAGGCTGAACAAGTTTCACATATTAAATGCTCATTTGAGGATCTTCAAGGTGAGGTGAAACTGCTCTTTCTTCAAATGACTGCACATGTGCAGTAACGTTGATTTAATTGCATTTCTAGATTGTATTTGAAAATCATCAATGAAATCTTTTCCCCTCTTGGACCTGCTGTTAACTATCAGTGTCTGCTCCCAAAGGGGAATTCTTGACCTTCAATGTAGGCAGAATAATTTTGTGGATAATAATTTGCCATTATAACACAGTATTTCACTAAGGATTGACATGCACTTTACAAGACCTATTTTATCTAACAGTGCATCGGTGCTTTGCTTCCCTGCAATTTGCTGAGGTCTAAGCAGAAACCAAGAATGCTCACTGCCATTGCCCTGCCTTTTTCAGTAAACCATGCTTTCTTCTGCTTGACCTGTAACCATGTTTACCTTTCAGTTCTTCCTTCCAGCCTTTCCTGTATGGAGTCAACTGAGTTTTGTTCCCTGACCTCTTCTCCATTTGTTCTAAGTCTGTTCAAACAAAATCAGTCTCACGAAGACTTACATTACAAAATGAATCTTTGCCTCTTTACTACTTTTACTTCCTTTCACACTCCTGAAAATTACAGAGCTGATAAAGTCTGAGTCACTTTTATCACTTACCAGGGGTTAAAAAATTTCACACTTAATAAGCTTCTACCACCTCCTTTGGTTTCCTATTTCTCTCCCTTTACTCAAGCTGTCTTTGTATTAACTCTGAAGCTGTCCTTTATGTCTACCAGATTCTATTATGCCTACATACAAGGGCAAAACTTCAGTGGATCTGAATCTCTTCCCTTCCTGTTCAAGGTCTGCTCTACCGTTGTTACTGAATTTGGTACATTATCATTGTACACACACGTACAGGAGTGATTTCCAGCTGGGAAAGGCTTATCACTTCTCTTCCAGCATAGTCAGCGGAAGGTTTTTCTTTAGCACACCTTTATGAAGGATTTGCCTGCAAGGCCCCGAGGATCCTAACTTCACTTTTGTAATGGCTGCACATGTAGCTAATTAGGGCAATGACATCTGTACAGTGTCCAGCCACCATTCTGTCAGAAACACATCTGAACACAATCTACTAAACTTCACCAGTGCCTTCAGCTCCCATGCCAAGAAAAGTCTGGCTCTCCTGATAGCTAGTAGCAGACTTTCTTTATCCCTTAACCTTTCCTTTGCACAAATTTATACAACACACTCTGTTAACAGATCAGCTTTCAAGTATCTGCTCATCCCTGCTCACAGGCACCGCATTTCCTATTTTAGCACCCGTGATTCAGCAACTCTTTGATCCATAGTCATCTTCAGCACCTAAATGTTAAGTGGCATTAAGAGATTGAGTCAGAAACATCAGTCTGCGATGACTATGTGACCAGCTGGTCTCAGATGTCTCATATTTTTCTGAAGAGAATTTTTAGTTCATGGTTTCCTCTTTCTGCTTGCTCTGATCAACTAGAAAAAACAAACAAACAAACAAAAGAAAAACCAAAAAACAAAACCCAGGACATGGCTTAGCATGTAGGCATAGGTTACTGTGATTCACCAGATCTATTTATCTTATCACTCCTTTTTATGCATACCTGGGAAATAAAGGTATTTTGTGATGAGATAGGTATTATCACAGTTATTTATACTGACACAAATAAAATGCTACATGAAACACCATAGACCCCCCATGAATACATGCTGATTTCACACACATTTTCCACACGTTTCTATTGGCTCTGCTCGAGACCACATATTAAAACCCACCAATCTTCCCAGTACAGACTGATGAAAGCCTCAGCAGAAACAGCTGCATTTCACATGTGGTTTAAGTTAACGTCTCATCCTGAATATTTAACTCTATCTGGCCATGGTGCTTTTCAATATTCACAGTCCTCTTTAGCTTCACATTACAAGCAAGGCATTTCCCCCTGAAAAACATGGAAGAGTACAATGAGGCTGGCAGCACTTCATTTCAGGACTGTTCAAAATAACTTTATTTTTGTGCTTAATATGAAGAGTAGTTCATTTTTGATATCCTGTAAGCACATAAAACACCTGCATAGCACTGTTAAACAGTGTAAACAATAAAATCTGTCAACAATAAAACGTCTTTTCTATAAAAAATGAAGCATTACTAAAAGTAAGTAGCACTGCATATTTTTCGGCTTAAGTCTATTATTAAAAAGAAGAAAAGTAACATAAAATGCATCTTTTTCTACTCACTCTTCCTGGCTGGGCCAGAAAACAGAATCACAACTGTTTACTAGGAGCTAGAACATGCCTAAAACACAATAGCCCTATTTCCACTTATTTCATTAGGTGGGAAATATAAGTGTAGAAGACCCTTCTTTTTTTTTTTCCCCTCTTGAATCTAGAATTAGGTTAAAAGTCAGTAATAATCTTACACCAGCAAGCCTACACTTAAATGTATGTGTCTGCCACATGAATGACTGTCCCAGATAGAGACATCAATGCTACCATATTTTTCCAGCAATACACACTTCAGATGAGGGGATTCTTCTCTGCAGGTGACTTCATTGCAGGTTGTGCTAGCATCCTACAGATTGAAAGGTAACAACTTATAGTGATGACATCAGTTTATGTGTGTGGCACATACATGACACATTCTGGTCTGGTAAACGCATTGAACACATCAAGGAAAGAGATTATTTTCTTGTACACACTAATTGTTTAGGTTACTATGGCAGTGTTAAACAGGCTTTCAGGAGAATCCATCCTCCACCAAAACCAATGGCAAGAGTCCCTGAGTCAGGATTATTGACTCCAGTTTCTTCAGCTTTAAGACACTAATAACTTCATCTGCTTAGCAGGAAGCCCTCCTACTCTCTATTTACTTGCAAGAGCAGGAACAGAAACCATCAAATGCCTTTCACAATTCTAGATATTTTATCGTCAATCTGACATGACAGGCCTTATCACCTGAGAGGTTCACTTTTCAGTGAACACTACATGCCCATTACACCTAATGGATAAGACCCTTTCATTTCAAGAGAGCTGCAAAATCCTTTTCCCTAATATCACCAGCAAAATAGTAAAACAGCCTAGACTGTGTGCAGCTGAGAGTAGTGTAGAATAAGATGATAAGAAAGTACTTTCCAACTTTACAAAGTCAGCAGAAGTTAGTGGCACCAGCCCACAGCACCTATGTCAAACACGTTCTGCGGAACAGGACTTGGCTGAGACAAGAATGTGTTTCATTGCACATTACGCTATGGTAAATATAACACAGGCACCCGTTACTACTAGAGCTCTTCTATCTCAACATTTGTAGATAGCCAGCCAGCTTACATGAGTGCTTTGCAAATCCTAAGATAGAAGCAACTTCAAACTAAATGCTATACAAACTGCTAACAAAAAAAACCAAATGACGAAAGCACAAGGAAGGCCTCATTTTGAACTTTTATGTTAAAACAGTTTTGAGTAGGAGTAATGCCTAATTACGTGGGGCTTGGTTCTTTACCCTTACTTTCCCAAGTAACCGGTGTGAGCCATACCAGCAAAGCCCTGTTTGTGTATACTGTGCCCCTGCTAGAAAAGTCTAGCAATGCAGTGATTCCAGAAAGCCTCTTGCAGTGCAGACTGAGCCCTTCATAACATCAAAAGCCACTCTGAAATGGATCAGTCATAGACAGTAGTTACAGTTCTCCAGGTTCCCTGGGTGTTTTCAGATGTTGTTGACACTAAAGCAGAAAACACTTAGCAAAAAGGTGATTTCAGCTACAAGCTCTTATACCTTCCCTTTTCTTTCCTGTTTTTTTTTCTTTATTCTTTGCTTCAGTATGTGTCTGTTCTAGTCTATCTTCTTTTTAAAGGGGAACAGAAGGCCAGCATGTTTGCATGGGTGGGATTCCTCAGTCATTTTCACCCATGCCATTCTCATACCTCACACAGGAGAGGCTGCCTCAGTCCCCCTGCACAAGTCTCCAGGCATGGACAGCAAGGGAAGCACAGGATAACTATGGAGTACTTCCCCAGGACATGCCAGAAGCTCCCGATGCTGCAGTTTGGCAATTTCCTGATAAAGCTGCCAACTGCCTTTGATTGCCTTGATGCTTTTTTATTCCATTAATTTGCCTAATTTTTTTTGAATGTGTTGCAATCAACGAAGTGAATGGACAACAGGAGTAGCAAAAGATCACAGCTGATGACTAACTGACTCCTTCATGGGCAGAGGGAAAGAATTTAAGATTTTCCCTCTGTCCCTACTTCCCATGTATAAGAATAGATTAGGTCAGGTTCATTGCATCTTCCCCTTTTCCCTTCCTGTAAAGGTGTGTAATAACTAAAGGCAGTCAACCTTAAAGCCCAGGAAAACAGTGTGTCTGATTCTCAACTGATGTGTACTTATGCATACTAAAACTAACTCTGTTGTGCACAGTGGAATTATATAAGGATTAAACCAGCAGAGTCCCAAGGTCAGAGTTGCCAGCCAGTACCACTAAACTATGAAACCCATTTCCATGGAAACCAAAAATAGGAGAGGTCATTCCCTTAGCTGTCAAAATCTACTTTATTGTCATTTTAACAGCCAAAACAAAAAAGTGGCAGAGAACAAAAGAGAAAAAGAAAGAAGTGACATGGCCCTCCCAATGGACCTTTTCAAGCAAAAGAAGAAAGGCAGAAAGAGTAAGAGGTCACAAGGTACATGTAATTATCATAATCAGTGTAAGAGTGGTGTTAGCAAATTAAAAATAGAGTCCATAACACCCAGGAAATGCCATGAAGAGCAAGAAAATACGCAATATAAGCACTTTGGAATGAAGATGAGGTGAAAGGATTCCTAGTCACTGAAGAATGTATACACAGAATGTATGAAAAAATCCTGGATTTTAGTCATTAATAGTCAACCTCAACATCTTGCACACATTTATGGTATGCAAAGATAAATTCTAAAGACATTCAATGCTCCCTCCCTTTTCCTTCACCTTCCATGCACACTTCTCTTTCTAGGGAAAACGGTGCCCTTCCATGGGAAATTCTTTCAGAGAAGTCTTTAAAGTCAGGGGCTAAATTCCCACTTCTTCAATGGGAGCAGGATTCTCTCAATCCATTTGGTGAAGTAAAACTTTGGGTTGAAGGGCAATCCTTGGCTTGGAAAAAAATTATTTACCAGCACATAGAAGCACATAGATATATCATGCGAAGTAATTTTTAATTTTCAAGATATTTGGGATCAAGCAGGTTGTCCATTGATTTATTTGCCTTTCTTATCTATTTCTACCTAGCTACCATTGAGTCATCTGAGGAAGACACTAGTACATATTATTTTGTTCAGAGACTTAAATCTAAGATTAAAATTCTAAGAACATGTGAAACAGCCCTATCTCTGGTGCTCTTCTCCCTCATCCCTTCTTGGGTAGCAAATCAAAAACCTTTGTCTAAGAGGAAAAAGAAGAGTAGTATGTATGCACAAAAAGTAATTAGATGTCTTCACAGAACTCATGATGATCAAGGGTTACTGAGAAAGGTAAGTTTCAGGCAATTTCATATTTTCCAGAAGCTGGCAATATGAACAATTTTATATTCAGTGGGGGAGAATCAATTGAGCAGTTTACTTCAGCTCCTTTAACTTTGGCTGTAGAATTGACTCCACCTGCAGACCCTATGTGTGTTGGTCCAGGAGCCCCATTAAACTCATGGCCAGGCCCAGTTCCAGTTCAGAACTACACTGTACTTGTATACCTGCAGATATCTGTTAAATTCGGACCTGTCAAGTGCTCGGCTATGACAGGGCAAAGATGGATCAGTCTGAGCCACTGTCTGTTCCCTGGAAGTTGTGATCTCCACAAAAGGATGGCTGAGTAGGATGTAAAACAACCTGTGAATGCTGTGGCTTGATTTGCCGTATTAAGAATAAATTAAATTAGCAACTCAATAAACTCAGCTGTAAAATGTACCTGTTAAACCATTCTTGCCATAGGGACAGCAGCCTCAGGGAGAGCCAGCTTAGTAGTGCTTCAGCCCTTTCCACTGATACCTCTGCACCCAGCACACATAGGAAATATTCCCTCCATGGAGAATATGAAACCATTTCCCTCTACCCATTTTACTCATAGAAAGAGTAGAAAAAGCTGTCCTTATGCAGTGTTGGCCAATCCCCTAAAATTTCTCCTCTGCATTTTCAATGTTTCTTATTCTAAACATACTCTTGCAATATTACAGGTATTGCTACTTATGTTTCCTATTGTTTTTACCTGAAAAGTCACCTTTAAACTTCTGTCATAGTTTTCTCTCAGCCACACAAAAGCTTTCTACTCAATCTTCTCATACATCCTTAATGTGTTAACAAGACACAAAGAATCAAAACCTAAACATACCACCTTGAACAACAACATTTTGGATTTTCCAAGTTTCTGGAGTTTGGGAAATAAGCCAACAAAAGATTAAAAGTGACACAAGTTTCTTTATTAGCCTGACTTTTAAAACAAATAGTAAGTCTCCTGCACTGCCAGGGTACTCAGTGCCAGAATGTGCATGGTGCCTGGAATGGTTGTCCTAACTAACTGTATGCTCACAGCTTGTGCATGATGCCCTTTATCCTGTCCCCCAGCACAGCAGAAACAACAAACAACTCTCTCCCACTCTGCATATTCCAATCTACCATTTCAAACAGAGCTCTTTGCTTTTAATCGTAAAGTGGTACTTGTTAAAGGAGCTGTGACCACTCAGGCTATTTCCTTTGAGGGTGATAACACTGCTGCAGAAGCTTCATTATTATGCTAATCAAGCACAGTCTGAGCAGCTTTCATAACTGCCACATTAAATCATTCACCAAGGGGAGGCCTCAAGAGCCATTTACATTGCACTGTATGCATATTAATGAAGGCAGCAGCAGCAGAATTGTTTTTGAAGCAGTAGTCAGGTAAGAAGGAAAAAAAAAGACATTATTTTGAACGGTGTTAAAACTAGTGATGGCTAAACTTAACAAAGATTTTCCAAGTTCAGTACTGAGGCTCAGTTCTGTTGTCTGTAATTAAGACCAAATAACACAACAGAGCAGAAACCTGAAGCCACAGGAACCGTGATAGAGGTCTCTGTGACAGACTGCAACAGCTCCAAAATATCTGTGCTGTACAATACACAATCTCAGTCCTCCACCAAATGTATAGAGGAGTCCCTTTTTCCTCAATCTTCAGAAAGGACAAGAATGAAGACCTATGAAACTACAGGCCAGTCAGCCTCACCTCCATCCCTGGAAAGGTGATGGAACAGCTCATCCTGAATGCAGAGGAAAAGATGGCTATCAGGAGTAGTCAACATGGCTTCACCAAGGGGAAATCATGCTTGACCAATCTGATGGAATGACTGGCTGTGTAGATGGAAGGGAGAGCAGTGGATGTTGTCTACCTTGACTTTACCAAGGCTTTTTACAGTCTCCCACAGTACCCTCATAGGTAAGCTTAGGAAGTGTGGGTTAGATGAATGGACAGCAAGGCAGATAAAGTACTGGCTGAATGGAAGAGCTCAAAGGGTTGTGATCAGTGGTGCAGAGTCTAGTTGGAAGCCTGTAGCCACTGGTGTTACCCAGGGTTGGTACTAGGTCGAGACTTGTTCAACTTATTCATCAATGAGCTGGCTGAAAGTTTGCTGATGAGACAAAACTAGGAGGAGCGACAACAGGCACAAACTGGAACACAGGAAGTTCCATCTGAATATGAGGAAAAACTTCTTTGAAGGTGGCAGAGTCCTGCAACAGGCTGCCCAGAGAGGTTATGGAGTCTCATTCTGTGAAGATAATCAAAGCCTGCCTGGACATGACCCTGTGCAACCTGCTCTAGGTGAACCTGCTGGGGGGGGGGCTAGATGGTCTCCAGAGGTCCCTTCCAACCACAGCCATTCTGTGATTCTGTGATCCTGTCCTCTTAATGTCCCAGCTCCCTTCCTCTTGTCCCAAGTCACACAACCTGTGGTGCACCTACAGAAGCTAATGCCACTCTAAAATGAGATAAAGAACAGTACCTGATAGCATGCCCTCAGAATAATTCTAACGCATCTTTCAAGACCAAAGACATAAAAGCAAACAAGTGACATTTAGAGTGATCTTGGGCTGACAAGTGAATATAGATATATTTTTCCCAAAAGATAAACCACGTAGAAGCCACCACAGATGAAGGTCAATGATACAGACAGACAGGTTTGTTTGAAGAAATTGCAGGAGCAATAATCATGGCAACTCACCTGCCCAGTGTCACACTGCTTTATTTCACATATGTTCTAGAAAATGTGTATTATCAAGAGACAGTTTAAGGGCAGAGCAGTAGCATTCGTGACAGGAACTGTGAACTTTCCCCAGTTATATAAGAGTGCATAAAGGAAAGATCTCTATGTAAAATGCAGATGACATTGGCATTGTTATTGAAGCAGTCAGGACCTTTTTATCAGATCACAGTGTGTTTAGACAGTTAGGAATATTTTTAAATTATTTATAGGTGAATATTATGTGCTTTGTGAAAAGAGCATACACTTTAGAAATCTGGCATCTCAGGAAATGTTTTATTTTATGATTCAAGCCATGCACTCTTCCATCACCATATTCTATAATATCAACAATCCACTTCCCTATCTCCCTCCTGCTGCTCTCCTCCTCTCCTCTCTTGACATCTACCCTCCAGACACAAATAGTGCTTGGCAGCAATTCTTCATGTCCTCAAGACATCACCTTCTAATGCTCCCTCCTTCTCCACACCTCTTTATTCCAAAGGGATTCGATAAGCGCATTTGCAAGAGCAAGAATTCACCTGGAACCAGTAAAGAATTACTTTTCTGTGTGGTTAAGAAGTGTTTATCCACAATCTCAGCTGAAACCCATGAACATAACAACATTATCATTATGAATGAAGAGACTTTTCCCATACTATTGCTGCAAATGCCACAGTAAACCTTGCATATTGCGTATGTGCAAAAGATTGATACAAAGCCAGTCACACAACCTTCTGATTAAGCAAGTCTTTATGTGCCAAAAAAAAACTAGAATAACAAAAGTCTGCAATAATTTTCTCAATCTTATGAGCAACGAATAACTTGGGATAGAATAGGCCTTCAGAATAGTGACACTAGCCAAAAGGAAAAGCTCTGTATCGACTTGCCACAGTGCTGCAGAAAAGCATACACTTTGCGGCAGATGGCTTACCCCATCTTCCCCAACCTAAAAGAAGTTATTCTGTACTCCAATCTTTAACTGACTTCTGAAGATCCACAAATTGACTTCTGAAGCACCTTCCTAGTCTTATTTTCCAGTCATTTAAAAATATTTCCTGCCCAATTGATTTTTTTGACAACATATCACTCAACAAATAATGCTCACGTTCTCATAATAACTGCCCTCCCTACTGAAAGCTGGGAAGTTTCAGTTTTCCATTTTTGAGACTTTTCCTTCAAATGCCACTTTTTATATCTCAACTGAGCTGCCTGCATTGAAGGATAACCATATCATCACATAGAACTATACACATCTAAGTTTAATTGGACTCTCTTGAATATTTCAGTGCTGATTTTGATTCTGGGTCTCAATAACTTAAACAAAATAAATTAAAGGTAAGGTATAATCTTAAAAGAGATTAATTTGTGATTTGTCAGCCCCAGTCTGCTATAGAGGCTTTCCTAAACTAATTAGGTGTATAAACTGACACATACAGATATAATGTTTATCATGCGTGACTCATGAGATATTTCAAAATACCTAACTTCAAAGGGAATCTAACATATTTCACCCTTGAAAAGGAAATAAAGCATTTGCAATTATCTTATAACAACAAGCAATATTAACCTGATAATGCTGTGATAGAACAATGTAATACAATTTCATAAATACTCCCACAAAACCAGTGGTAATATAACCTTAATTTTGAGACAGAATACATACATAAAAGTAGATTTTTGTACTCCTAAAATTTACCAGCAACACATACAAAATATTTTGAATGACTGCCAAAGACCTTGGTTTAGCAAAAGGATAAAATATGTAGCATTTCAAGTATCTAATAGAAAATAAAGTACACACACTGTATTTGATTTGCTGTTTTGCATACCTTTCTCCTATTTTTGTCCAATAATCTGTTCAGCTTCAAAGCTTTGGGATGCACACTGATTTCTTCTGTATGTTTAGATAGTATCTCTCAACAGCACAACAGGGCTCACTCCTAAATGAGGTCTTAGCATACTACTACAATGCAATTATTGCTGCTGTTAATGATTATAGAAATTATTTTAATGTAACAATGTAAGAGGCACCAATAAACACTGGATACATGCATACCTTGCATGCATTCTGAGTTATAATTTCATTACCTAAGCAAGGCAAGTATGTCTTAAAAATGTGTTTGCTTGGCAGTTCTATGAAAGGGATTGGCTTGTGTTGTAAGAAAATTAATGAATCTTAACCTTTGAAATAGATACATATGGCAGAAGAGACTGAAATTCCATTGGCTAATAAGATAAAAAGTCTACTCAGCGAGGTAAAGTTCATATTCAAGAATCTAGTCATGTATATACACATAGAGCTCAGAAGATACCCAGAGAGCTCTGAATGGTTTTGATTTGTATGAAAGTCCCACAAATCTTCATTCCTAATCTCTGAAAGCCTGACATCAAATTAAAGCCTATATATGTGGTTTTACAGAGGGGTGGGATGACACTGGAACAACTACATGTATTTGTTAAGGTATTATCAACAGAGGGGATGCTTCCCACTGTTGATACCCAAGGATTCAACTTCATTGCTAGTCTGTGAATCACAAGTTCCTAAACCACTGCCTGTTTCATTTTAAGCACTATTTTAGCCAAGCCATTTAATGTCTACTAGATCACTGCAACATGCTGGGTTTGCCCTGTGTAACTTCTGATGTCTCTTCTAGAAATTATTTATTCTCTTTCACTTCCCCAGAGCTGTTCTGCACCCAATTACTGTGTCTTCATGAAGGTATTTTTCTGCAAAGTGGAGTTACAAGAGATTTCAGTGTTGCCACTGCAGAGTTGCTTTGTCAAGTACCACAGCCACTTGGGTCAGCTCAGCTAGCTGGAACACCATTAGAGGAATCAGGAGGGCTTCAA